TGTGGACTTCAACTCCCAGAATTCCCCAGCCAGCTTGCTGGGAGTTGAAGTCCACATGTCTTAAAGTTGCCAAGGTTGAGAAACACTGAGGTAGACCAAACCAAGAAATTAATACTACAAGAAGTCTGAAAGGACTTTTATTAACATTGGCTATAGTAACAGAACCTTGCAAGCCTGACTGTGCTTTAATTCCCCCATCTACCCAATCTTGCTCATGTGAATTAGGGAGGTATTGGTCTGAGTCACTTGTGCATACTTCTTGTTTTGGACTTAAGCCATGCTTTTCTCCTTGTTGTTTTGATAATGGATCTGGCCTATCTCCATCAAGGTCATCTTCCTTACTCTCTACATCTTCTCCATGTTTACCCACAACAACAATCATGAGGCAGGATGGGCTGAGAGAACAAGACTGATCCAAGTTCCACAAGGTCTTTCTGTGACCCAAGGGGGGGACTAGAACCTGGATCTCCTACTCCTAGTCCCACCCCTTCCCCACACCACCAGATGGGCTCTCACTGACATTAGATATAATGCAACAGTCCCATCAAAGGTCTCCATTTTTTCATTTGCTGCTGACTGAAACCTAGGGATTTCAAAAGAAAGGTGTGGAACATCTGGAGCAAGGGCTCTCATCTGCCAGTGTGACACTTGCTAATAAACTGGTGAGCTCTACCTGCTGTCCTGCCTCAGGCACATCCCCAAAGCTCCATTGATCACGCTTCTCCTTCTCAAGCTCCAGAGAATGTTTGAAACAGGAGCCAGGAATGCCAACTCGTACAACAGCCTACAAAAGCTCAAGCAAAGTAGGCTTCCATCTGGAATCTGCAATCTGAGTGAACAATGCAAACAAGAGGCAGATGACTTCCCTGGCAATCTGCCACTTGATACAGCTTTCAAGTTTCTAGGTCTCTCCACCCATTCTCAATCTCTGTTCTAGAGCATAAGCTAATTATCATTTCTTATAAGGTTATGTCATTACACTCTGAACTGATTAGTAAACAACTGGCAAAATGGTATGAACTTTAGTGTAAATAATGTGTATACGTCAGCCTTCCCAGGTAGACTAGACAGGAAACACAACTAGATGAGCTAATTCTACTTTATTGTAAGGCTACATTAACAGAATCTTGCAAGTCTGAAAGTACAAATCTCCCGTCGTCTTTTTTTATAGCCTGATAAGTTAGGGAGGTTCCTTTCTGAGTTTCTTGCTCTGCCCATTATGCAGCTGTGGGCTATGTCCTCTCTTATGATTGTTGCCTAGGCAGCATCTCTTCCCCTGTCTCCCAAGGTCATTCCCACATTCCATTACAGTATACATTACATGAACCAAGTTTCGATCCTTTGGTTTCTCCTCCTCCTAGGCCAATCCACATACCATTTCACATCCTACTTCTTAGTCAACATAGTACTTTCTTAA